CTCACCTGTGTTTGATATAGTTTAATAATTCTAATCACAGACACTTTTGCAAAAAAACACAAAGTAATTTTGGCAATTTTTCCCTCAGCTGTTCCCCATTCTCAAGTGAATAAGCTAGTTTTTCTCTGTACTTTTTTTTTGCAGGCTGCACACTAGCCTAGTGTGAGGGAGTTATCTTGGGAGTTCCTCTACCCCTGTGGTTATAAGTAAAACTTTACAGCCCAGGTTAATGTCATTACCTCTGACGTGGGTCCATTATGGGGCAATTGTGAGGAAGTGTTGAGCTACCTGTGATGGTAAGGAGCACAAGGCTAAGCCACTAGGGATTCACTGTTCCCCTCAGAGACCAAGTGGTGAATCTGCTACATGGCAAGTTGACAAAAACCCAGCCCCGTACTCCTACACCTGTTTATGAAAAAACAAGAGTGGATGTAAGGCCCCTTCAGGACACACTGGCTCTTTAGCACTGCTGAAGTGGTGGCCTCTCATAAGCACCTGGAGATTGTAGCGGTTTCCTTCTAACTCCTGGTTGCCAGCCAAAGTAGCATATGATTCTAGACCTAGATGTAATTTAGGACACTATTCTCACCAGCGGGGGTGCACATGCCTATAATCCCAGCATTCTGAGAGGCTGAAGCAGGAGGACTGCAAGTTTGGTCCAGCCTGAGCAAATGTAGTGAGACCCTGTCTCAGAAAATAAGGTCTGAGGATGTAACTCAGTGTAAAGGCCCTGGGCTCAATCCCCAGCACCAAAACCAAACAAACAAAAAAGAAATTAAAAAAAAAACTATCCTCTTCCTTTTCTTTCCTCTTTTACAGTACCCATGTGGCCCACACATGCCATCAAGTAAATACCAATATGCATGTATAATGAGGGCTCCCTAGAAGACAGGTGCTTCCGGCCACTCCACAAATGCAGTTCCCTTCTTAAGATTTCCTCCTAGGGCTGGGGATTTAGCTCAGCGGCAAAAGCACTTGCCTGGCAAGTGCAAGGTCGTGAGTTCGGTTCCTGGTACCGGAGAAAAACCAAAAAAAAAAAAAAAACATTTCCTCCTAAATTGGGTTTCTTTTTTTGCGAGGGGAGGGCGCGGTTCTGGTACCAGGAATCGAACTCATGACCTTGCGCTTGCCAGGCAGACACTGTGCTGCTGAGCTAAATCCCCAGCTCCTCGTAAACTGGGTTTCGACAGAGCCTCTAGGCAGGAAACAAAGGAATATGTTCTTATTTAATGCCTGTAATGTGCTACGAGCTGTGCATAAAGCAGTACAACAAAGGTATCATGCGTAGCTTGTACTGTCTAGCCGAGGAGACATGAAACTAGGAGTAACATGGAACAAGAATGTTAAGGTGAGGTACAGGCTGCTTGGGGCAGCACTGCAGGAAGGCGGGAAGGCTTCTTGGAGAAAGCAAGTGGAGTTCCCAAGGTCTGAGGATGTAACTCAGTGTAAAGGCCCTGGGCTCAATCCCCAGCACCAAAACCAAACAAACAAAAAAGAAATAAAAAAAAAAAAACTCTGGCTTGGTAACAAAGACAGTTACACTCCTCGCTGAGGTTTTACACAGAAAAGGAACCAAGGTCGGAGATGGATTTCGCTTAGGTGTTAGAGCCCACAAAAGAAACCAAGGAGTACCAGAGAGCAAGAAGAAAATGACGCAGAACGAAGTTAAACCCAGACAAAGGGGCCGGGCATAGTGTGGCTCACACCTGTAATCCCAGCACTTGGGAGGCTGAGACAGGAGGATCACTGCAAGTTAAAGGACACCCTGGGCTACAAAGTTCAAGGCCAGCCTGAACTGCAAAGCAAGACCAGATCTAAAAAAAAAAAAAAGCCAGATGAAAGTTCCTTGAATTCCCATAGGGAACACATTCCAGAGTACCAGAAAGAAGACTCACACGTGGGCCGCGGAGCTAGCTGGAAGGATGGCTGATCCCATACTATTCCAGACTCTCAAGATAGGCACCTGTCCTATCTTTCCTGTCCATGGCCCCAACTCTAGAATCTACACTTTAGATTCTCCAGTTTATTTAACCCGTCCACATCTCTGCAAAGTCTTAAATTGTGTTCCTAAGACCAAATGGTTTAAAATTCAGGAGGATTCCCCAGGCTTCTCAAGTTTTTCTCTCCACAATCTTCTAACTATTCAGTGTTCCCAACCCATTGCAATGCTTACCTTGAAACCCCGCCCTTCCTAGGGAGTAGGTGGAGTCCTCCACCAGCCAGCAAGCTGGGAAAGCAAACAGGATTGAGGTCGTTTCAGAACAGCAGCCAGGCGTGGTGGCACTCGCCTGTAATCCCAGCGCACTCGGGGTGGCTGAGGCAGGAGGATCGTTGCAGGTTCGAGACCAGCCCGGGCTACAAAGCGAGCTCAAGGCCAGCCTGAACTGCACAGCGAGACCCCGTCTCAAAAAGACAAGAAAAAAAAAAAAAAAAAGCAGGAGCCACTGCAGCGGATCAGGGAGGTGTGCCTGAGCTCAGGCTGCAAAAAGAACTGACACCAGCTGTCAGACAGCTAAGAAAGACCCTGACTCTCGCTAATTGGGGATAAGAAGTCACAAAGGGTTTTAAAACATAAGTGACATCACTGCAGACCCTTAGCGTTTCATTGTCTGTCAAAAGTCAACCAGAGGAACTTCTGACTGGACAGGACAGTCTTGCTGCTGACTCTGGGAGGGCGAGGCTGAGGATGGTTACGGCACCCAAGCAAAAAGTGGAGGAACATTCAGAGCTCCTGAGGCAGAAGGACATGTCGGAACTGTGCTCAGTTCTGCAGCTGGCAGGAGTCCCATTGGATGCTCTCGCCAGGGGGGCTCCCATCCCGGGCTGAAGGGCAGAGAGCCTCTTTAGTCACTCCCATTCTTTGCTGTTTAGAAAACCTCCCAGGTAAATAAAACGAAACAAAACAAAAACAAAAACCCCGAACATGAGGCAGGACGTAACCACTGGGGGTCCAGATAAAGATCTAAGGGGTGTGTGCGGCTAAGATCCGCGGCCTCTTCGCGCCCCCAGACCCCTCGCCCTTGTCCCAGCCCCCTGAAGTCCCCAGATCCACCCGACCCCGCCCGGCCAGGGAACTCCCTGCCCTCCGCGCCAGCACCCAATCCTTGCCTTTGCCCAGGGGATCCCCAGACGCTCATCTTGGAACCCTCCTTTCACTTCAGGGAATCCCTAGCGCCGCGAATCCCCAAAACACCCATCCCCGGACCCGCCACGAGATACCCCACACCCCTCCTAGAGAACTGCTAGCTTCTGAACTCTCCCGCCCCCGCCCGTCCCTCCGCGTCGCGCTGCACCTCCCACCGGTCCCGCCTCGCGCCTGCGCAGTGAGCGCCGCGGGGGGGCGGGGGTGCTAGGACCCGCCCTCGGCGCAGCCGCAGTCCACGGAGAACTTTGCTTCATTCAGCGGGCAGCGCCGACAGGAAGCGGCGGCGGAGGCGCGATGAGTGCATTCTCCGACCCCGTGGTCATCGTTTCGGCTGCGCGGACTGCTATAGGTGAGGGTCGGCGGGCCCAGATCTGGGTTTGCGCCGCCTGCCCCGGGGGCCAGGTCTGCAGGGTGAGGGATAGAGGTGGGCAAAGGACTCGGCCGGGACCCTGGGGACCCTAGAGCCGCCGGCTTCACCCTTCTCCAAGGCCCCGCCCCCTGCTCGCTTTAGGAGACCGCCCCGCCCCTCGTCCTCGGATTTGCTCTCTGCGGTAGAGTGATTGTGGCCCAGCCTCTCCCATTGGCTGGTGTAGGCAGGCGCCCTGTAGCGAGGGCCCCTGATTGGCCGGTTCTGGACACGCCATCCGTCAGCATAGGTTGGACTGCCGAGGGTCAGAGGCCGGCTCCGGGCGCAGTCGGCCTGGCGGAACGACTGAGGGGTTCGCCTCCAGCTCCTCAGTACCGCAGTTTTTGAACCTTTGGCTCGCTAGAGCGCCCGCGGCTTTTGTTTGGGCACCGCGCGGCCGCACTCCCCGCTCGCTGGCCTTCCCACATGGCGCCCGTCCCGCCGGGTCCGCGCGTGGGGGCGTCTGCAGAGCCCCCGCGGCTCACGCGCCCGCGGTCCCCGCCTCTCTGTTGCAGGCTCCTTCAACGGGGCGCTGTCCTCCGCGCCCGTACACGACCTGGGCTCAGCTGTCATCCGAGAAGTCCTGAAGCGGGCCGCGCTGGCCCCCGGAGACGTCTCCGAGGTCATCTTTGGACACGTTTTGTCGGCAGGTAACTCCTCGGGGACCCCGGAGGGGCCGGCTCGTGCGGAGCGGCCTCCCCCGCCTGCCGCGCCCTCGCCCCGCACTGCGCGGGCCCCGCTGTCCCGAGTGTGCCCTCTGTCTGGAGTGACCCCACTGTCCCGAGTGGCCCCCCAGCGCTGTTAGAGCAGGGCCTCCGGTGCGTTAGAGCACGTGCACGGCGCCGGTGGTCCGAAGTGTCACACCCCCCACAGAAGGCGTTGAAGGCGGCCTTGTGCCCAGCGCTGCGCTAGAACCCTGTGCATGGCCTGCTGGAAACGCAGCGTTCTTCCCGCTCAGGGCCCACTTCTGAGCTGCTCCCCACTGACTGGGGACTGACACCCTGGGGGAGGACAGAGTCCTGAGAAGTGCCCCTTCTCCTGACTCCTCCTGGGCCTGTAGACGTCTGATCCTTGGCTGTTCTTAATTATTTATTAGTGATTAGTTTGGGGTGTAGCTCAGTATCAAGTACGTGGTCACCATGTTCATGGTCCACTCCCACCACCCAAAAAAAAAAAAGAAACAAAACAAAAAAAAAACCAACTAGTTTTGTCGCCAGGAAGCTGGATCCTAAGAGCAGGAGGAACCAGCAACACACCTTGAGTTTTTGTGTCTTTGATCCACGACTTCAGACATACAGGCTGTTTAGAGTTTAGAGCTGATGCAAAATGATAGATTTTTGGGGTGAGTGAGAGTGTGCCTTCAGGCACAAAGAGGGCAGGTGCCAGGATGGCTGTTGTACTGCCTGAACACTCAGATTACACTTCTGTGATAAAGTGGGATTTTCAAGGAATATCCTTTCCTTTCTCCAGCATCTTTTTTTTTTTTTTTTCACAAGGCAGATGGGCTGTGTAGACTAGGGGGTTCTTGTGCGCTCTCTAGGTGGGCATCTTCCACTTAGTTTGTTTTGAGGCTCAAGGTTTTTCAACCCCTCACCCATGCATTAGACTGGGTGGGCCCTGGATCTTATTGCTTCTACAAGAAAATGAGCTCTGTATTGACCTATCAGTCTTTGTTTACTCCCTAGGTGGATTTTTTTTTTTTTTTTTTTTTTTTGATCCTGAGGTTTTTCCAAGCCCTCACCCATGGTCTGGACATGGTGCATTGTTCAGGCCCTGGACCTTATCAACACATTCAGAGTGTATATTCTCTTAAGTGAAAGTTTGAAACCATAAGTTTGTGTGGATTTTCTCTATAGCTAATGATTAAGAAAGTGAAGGTAAAAGGAAAAACAACATCACGTCTTTGCTTTTTTTTTTGGTTCTTTTGAGACAGGGTCTCCCTATTAGTTCAGGCTTGTTGTAAACTCACCGTGCAGCGCAGACTGGCCTCAGACTGATAGCAATCATCCTGCCTCAGCCTCCTGAGTGCTGGGATTACAGGTGTGCACCACCATGTCTGGCCCCCTTTGCTTTTTAAAGCAAAAGCGTCATGTCTCCAGGCCTGCTAATGTCTGACTTTTTGCCTAGTAGTCTTGCTCAATCAGTAGCATATATGCTAGTTAACTATACTAATAGTTGCTAATACTCAAAACCAACTTCTGTCCTTATCTGGTCTGAGACCTGACCAATGTACAGGTTTAATGTTCCTTATTGGAAATGCTTGGAGCCAGGCATGGTGTGCACACCTACAGTCCTAGCAACTGGGAGGCTGAGGCAAGATCTCTGCGACTTCAAGGCCAGCCTGAACTGTACAGTGAGACCCTATCTCAAAAAACCAAAAAAGAGAGACAGAGAAATACTTGGGACCAGATGAGTTTCACATGTTGGATTTGTTTTAGATTTTGAGTTCTCTTTTTTTTTTTTTTTTTGTTTTTTTGTTTTTCTTTGAGATTTTGTAATATTTGTGTATACATAATGAGATATCTTGGGCTTGGACCCAAGTTTAAACTCAGTATTTATGTTCAATATACATCTTAAACATAGAGCCTGAAAGTAATTTTACACAGTATTTTTAATAATTTTGTGCATGAAACAGTTGTGTATCACAACTAAAGGGCTGAGAAGGGTCTTCTTTCCCTTGAGAACATTGAATAAATTGTGTCTTCTGCATCGGCATTTTGACTTCAATCTGTTACATAATGTCAGGTTTGGAATTTTCTACTGTGACATGTGGGCACTCAACAAATTTGACACTTGGAGCATTTAGGTTTTTTTTGTTTTTTGTTTTTCTTCCGGTACCAGAAATTGAACTCATGACTTTGCGCTTGCCAGGCAGGCACTTTGCCGCTGAGCTAAATTGGAGCATTTACTTCAGCTTTTCAGAATAGAGATGGTCAACCTGCATTTCCCTTGCAATTGTATAATTCTCCCTAATTCACCTTTCTCAACTTGTCCTTAAAGTCTTGTGGGAAACCACATTACTTTCTCATGATTCTCCCAGGCTTTAACACCTTTAGGCAGGTGTGATTGCACATGCCTGTAATCCCAGCTCCATTGAGGGAGGGCAGGGATGATCCCAGTTTCAAGGCCAGCCTGGGCAACTTAGACCTTGTCTCAAATTAAAAAGGACTGGTAGAACACTTGTGGTACACGGCCCTGAGTTCAATCTTCAATACTGGAGAGCAAACAAAAGATGCCTATAGCAAGACTTTGAGAGGTCAGATAATAAGGTCATAGTCTGAAGTACAGTAAGTGATTAAACAAAGATCTGTCATCCTCCCAAACCAGGTACCCTCCACAATCATGTAAAAAATATTTACCGAGCACTGACTGTGCCAGGCACTATTATAGCATCTAGGAATAAGCCCTATCTATGTGAGGGAGAAATCATCTTGGGGGAAGAGTGGTTGAAGGGAGGGTAAGGGAATAGGAAAAAAAAAAAAGATGGCGCAGCACTTGGGAGGCTGAGGCAGGAGGATCCTTGCGAGTTCAAGACCAACGTGGGTTACAAAGTGAGCTCAAGGCCAGCCTGAACTGCATAGGGAGACCCTGTCTCAAAAGACAAAAAACAAACCAAGAATCAAGATATATCATGTACAAGTACAAATTCCCTGGGATGAATGTGATCATTATGTATACCTAAAATGTACCAATAAACTTTTGTTTTATTTTGTTTTTTTTTGTCTTTTTGAGACCGGGTCTTGCTATGCAGTTCAGGCTGGCTGTGAGCTCACTTTGTAGCCCAGGCTGGCTTCGACCTCACAACAGTCCTGCTGCCTCAACCTCCTGAGTGCTGGGATTACAGGTGTGTGCCATCATGCCCTGCCCAATAAACCTAATTTTAAAGAAAGAGAAGAAAAATCCTCATTTTTGTGGAGCTCATATTCTGCTATTTTTTTTTTTTCCGGTATCGGGAATCGAACTCACAACTTCAGGCTTGCCGGGCAGGCTCCAGTGCCACTGAGCTAAATCCCCAGCCCCCTCTGCTGTTATTTTTAACACTCCATGTTTTTCAGCTGTACTGGAGTGATCACAGTGATCTACATTTCCAGCCTTTTATTTTTTAGTTTGTTTTCTAGGACAGGGTTTTGCTATGCAGTTCAGGCCAGCCTCAAACTTGAAGTGATCCTCTTGTCTCAGGCTCCCAAGTGCCCCAGCAGCCATTTTTGTTTTGAGATAGGGTCTTGCTAAATTGCCTAAATGAACTGAAACTTTTGATCCTCCTGCTTCAGCCTCAGAGTGGTGGATTACATGAGTGTGCCATCATGGCCAACTTTAACACTCATTTCTTAATCCTAACTGCCTTGAGGATGGGGTATTTTTTTTTTAATTTTTTTTATTTTTTTGTCTTTTTGAGACAGGGTCTTGCTGCGCAGTTCAGGTTGAGCTTGAGCTCACTTTGTAGACCAGGCTGGTCTTGAACTTGCAACAATCCTCCTGCCTCAGCCTCCTGAGTGCTGGGATGACAGGCATGCACCACGACGCACTTGCTAGGAAGGCACTTGTAGCACTGACCTATATTCCCAGCCCTACAAAATTTTTAAAAGAAGTTATTTACTTGAATGCATATGTAATTCATTGTAGTTTAAAAAGCTGGAATCATATTAATGGCTCTGTTAACTAGTGTCTTATGGGTTGAATTCAGTGAATATATTGATACTGTCTTTTTAGTCATTTTTCTCTGGGTAAACTGTCTTTCTTTTTTGTAGTGATAAGAGATTGAACCCAGGACCTCAAGAATGCTAGGCAAGCACTCTATTACTGAACTGCATCCCCAGCCCCTAGGATGTACTTTCAGTTTCCAGTAACTTTATCTGTTTCTAGCTTCCAGCCTAATTTTAAACTAGTAACACTGTGATGAATATAATCTCTAAATATTTGTCAATGACACATTTATTAGTTTTTTAAAAACAAACCTACCCAATAACAGTGCTAGGTAGGTATATCTGAAACTTGTAATAGACTGACCACTGTAGAAATATTCACTGCTGACTCTTTGATAGTAGATAGTAGTGACTGAGAATATTATAAAGCTTCGGCTTCCCTTTTCTGCTACTTTAACTAAGTGATACATTCTTCTTAACTAAAGTAAATCCCCATAGTTGAATCACAGAAAGGTATTTATCGGTTCTGGTTTTGTGTATAACTTAACCAAGGTGTGATGAATAATACAGAAAGAAGAGTTTGTCAGAGGGTTTCCTCTTTAAGTCATTCTTCCTCTTAGGTGTCTTTAGCTCAGATCGTGGCTCTGCTTAGCAGTACTGATAATAACCTAGGTTGTGCCTTACAAGAAGTATGTGTGTAATACTAGTTGGTTGATATCCTTGGTTTTAAATTCTTTTCCTGTTGTGAGGAAAAGTCAAGCTCTTATCAAAAGATGAAGATCTTAGGGCCGGGGATATAGCTCAGCGGCATAAGTGCTTGCCTGGCAAGCCTGAGGTCAATGAGTTCGATTCCCGGTACCAAAAAAAAAAAAAAAAAAAAAGAAGGTCTTATGAATCTTTTTTTTTAGTTTTAAAACTCTGTAGAGCAAAAATGCGTACATCTCTAAAATACCTAGAAAGCAAAAATAAATAAGTAAATAAGATAAGATAAAATACCTAGAAAGCAGTA